TCTCTCTCTCTCTCTCTCTCTCTCTCTCAATGAATACAATTCATTAATAACATATTATTTTCTTACCATCATGTGACAATTGTGTATTATTATATTTGTCGGTATTACGGGAGAAGTCAATTGATAAGTTTGAAAAACTTACCGACTAATCCCTTTGTCAATATGTTGTCAATAAAATACGTTCAAACTAAATTATTGTCTCTTTATATAGATGGTTAAAGATCCATATTAATATATAAAAAAATCAATTTTCTTGAAATCTGGTTTCTGCGCGGTTTTTACATGTGATACCATATTTCTGCAGTTGTAAGTAAATTAGATAAAGTGTATTTCTGTCTCCCATACAATTCGTCCATCTTCTTTAGCTTCTAATATTTGTATTACGCGGTTTTTACTAACTGAAGTTGCACGTGGAATCCAATGGATTTTCCTTATACGTGTAGCTACATTTATAGTTCTTGTGTCGGCTTTAAAAAGTCAAAATCTACAAAAAAAGGCAATCTTGTCCGTGCTGCTGTAGCTTCTAGCATTTTATCTCCACTGCCCAACGTCAATCATCACTACTGAATGTTCTTTTAAACTTATATTTTTCTTCATCGGCTCGACAACTTTGTAAATAGGCGCTTCTCTATTTTGATTTACTCTGTCGATCGAATTTAACTCCCCGAGGATGCCCGCAACTATGAAGCTGGAAACACTAAAATAAGAAATATCAGATATATAAATCACATGATTAAGAAAAATCATTATAAGTTCTTAATATCAATCACAGTTTTTTTTAAAAATAATAAACATTTTTACATCACAACGGTTTTGGAAAAGGCATCAAACGATTTCGAATAAATATTACTAAATTGTAAATATTAATTCAAACGAGTAAAAGAAAAGTTTCTGAATACAAGTCACACGTTTTACAATCTTAACAACATGTTTTACAAAAAAAATCTCACGCTTTAGAATGTAAAGTACAAGATACTCAAATATTGCCATGTTTAACACCCCCCCCCCAACGAAAGTTGCGAATTCNAGTTGCGAATTCGATAAATATGCCATTCTTGAATGTACCGTTGTAGAAGCTTACCTGCCCTCCAGGACATGTATTTATACGATTTTTATTTTGTGTTATGTACTTGGTTTCTAGATATCGTCTTCCTTATTGACACATCTGGAAGTATTGCCAACAGTGATGTGTTGCAGGCTATTGATTTTATCTGCAACGTCACGAAATGGCTGACGATCGGGCCAGACGACATCCTGGTATCCGTCGTAACGTTTGATAGCACTTACGATGAGAAAATCAAATTGAAAGATTACAACTCAAGGGCCGAACTCCTCCGAAACCTGAAACGATTAGTCTACAGCAAACCAGATGGTGGTACACAGACTGATGCTGCTTTGGAGTTTGTGCGCCTGAATTCTTTCCTCCCGAAGAATGGAGGACGGCTTGATGCAAATAAGACGGTGGTTTTATTAACAGATGGTCAGTCATCTTTCCCCAATAAAACGTTGACTCAAGCGGAATTGCTGAAGTCAGTCCCGAACACCGAAATATTTACCATTGGAATCGGCAGCGCAGTGTCAGGGAGTAACGGAGAAATTCGAGGTATATCGAGTGATCCCGATTCTTACTATGTACAACATGTGGACGCATTCATCTACCTGTGTAACGTAGTGCCGGCTTTGGTTCCCAAACTCGGTAAGTATGGACAGAATCCTGTATATATGTCCTCTTGACTAACAGTAAACCCCATCCAAAAACAGACCAAACAGTTTGCCTGATACCATGAATGAAATGTCAATGGTATTGTTACACAAGCAAAACCCTACAAGAACAAACATTAATTTACCACTTTCTCCTCGTTCTTTCTCCCATCCTTGACTTTGATCTGGAACTTTACTTACAATAAACCTCAAAACAATCATGCACATGGTTCATAGGAGGACACATATTGTTTTCACAAAAACAAATTCGACATTTTCATATCCACAGATCCTTTGAGTAAAGCCACGGCAATACTGAACTGCCCGACGCCTACGACCACCACTCGGAGTCCTAGCTCCGGTCACCTAGGTTGGCGATCGTCGACTGCAACACCTGCAAGCCAATACCAACAAATAAGAACAACACGCGCAACACCACACCATACGGAAGGGGAAGGTATATTTAAGCATTGAACTGTTTTTGTATGGTATTGATGATCTATTTGAATGACACAGCTTTGCAAGCAAACAACATAATGCGCGCTAGCGCATTATGATTAGTTTCTGACTGAGGAATGGTGGATGCGAGACGCGTGAAAGATAGCGTTTGAAGTGAGTGATCTTGCGACGGAGCACAGGTTCGTTACAAATGTCTGAAATATTTATGGTTGCTGTGACTCATATCAGTAGGTCTGTAACATATGTGTCAGTAGGTCTTTATAATATGTGTATTTCAGACATTTGTAACGAACCCCTGTTGATCAGTGCAGTGTAACAGACGATATTTCTGATAAATTGCATGAGCGTTAAAATTGTTACCATTGCCGGCATTGGTGATTTCAACCGATGTGCATTTTGTACGATATTGCAGACATTGGTCTTGTTTTCGTTGTACAATGTAATAAAAGTGTTTTATTTTTTATTTTGCACATAAATTTACAATGCCCAGCGATATATTGGATATTGTAGTTCCGGTCAGTGTTGTATTAATACGCTAAGAATTGTGTCTCGTGATGCATGGTAATTAAAGTCCCATCAACTATACAGCTTTCAAAGAGACTATATAGTGGCAATGCCATGCAAATGTAAATATTATGTATATAAGACCGAACAACGACTTGTTGTTCTGAACATTAGCTAAAATGTTTTGCCATTTAAGAAATCCTCTCCTTCCATTTAAGAAATCCTCTCCTTCCATTTAAGAAATCCTCTCCTTCCATTTAAGAAATCCTCTCCTTCCATTTAAGAAATCCTCTCCTTCCATTTAAGAAATCCTCTCCTTCCATTTAAGAAATCCTCTCCTTCCATTTAAGAAATCCTCTCCTTCCATTTAAGAAATCCTCTCCTTCCATTTAAGAAATCCTCTCCTTCCATTTAAGAAATCCTCTCCTTCCATTTAAGAAATCCTCTCCTTCCATTTAAGAAATCCTCTCCTTCCATTTAAGAAATCCTCTCCTTCCATTTAAGAAATCCTCTCCTTCCATTTAAGAAATCCTCTCCTTCCATTTAAGAAATCCTCTCCTTCCATTTAAGAAATCCTCTCCTTCCATTTAAGAAATCCTCTCCTTCCATTTAAGAAATCCTCTCCTTCCATTTAAGAAATCCTCTCCTTCCATTTAAGAAATCCTCTCCTTCCATTTAAGAAATCCTCTCCTTCCATTTAAGAAATCCTCTCCTTCCATTTAAGAAATCCTCTCCTTCCATTTAAGAAATCCTCTCCTTCCATTTAAGAAATCCTCTCCTTCCATTTAAGAAATCCTCTCCTTCCATTTAAGAAATCCTCTCCTTCCATTTAAGAAATCCTCTCCTTCCATTTAAGAAATCCTCTCCTTCCATTTAAGAAATACTCTCCTTCCATTTAAGAAATACTCTCCTTCCATTTGTTTGTTTCTTACTAATCACGTCACTTACAAATGGCAAATTGTAAAATGTGACCAATGGTACAATTACACTAAAATATTCTGTGTTGTAACTTTGGTATTATCTTGTTACTACAGTTATGAATCATCAAATTTTGAACCTATTTACTCTGTTGACCTGTATTTTACACACTTTCAAATTCCGCTAGAGAGTAAGGTCAATATAATAACATCAATCAATAAGTTGGAATATATTTCTAGAATAAGAAATATAAGATATATAAATCACATGAGTAAGAAAAATCACACTTTAAAAAAAAAAAAAAATTTTTTTACATCACAATAGTTTTGGAACAAGCATTCAATGATTTCGAATAAATATTACTAAATTGCAAATATTAATTTAATTTCGAGTAAAAGAAAAAAATCATTTTTTACAATATAAATATTACGCTTTAGAATGAGAATCTTACCTGCCCTCCAGGAAGTGTATTTATACGATTTTTATTTTGTGTTATGTACTTGGTTTCTAGATATCGTCTTCCTTATTGACACATCTGGAAGTATTGCCAATAGTGATGTGTTGCAGGCTGTTGATTTTATCTACAACGTCACGAAATGGCTGACGATAGGGCCAGACGACATCCTGGTATCTGTCGTAACGTTTGATAGCACTTACGATGAGAAAATCAAATTGAAAGATTACAACTCAAGGGCCGAACTCCTCCGAAACCTGAAACGATTAGTCTACAGCAAACCAGATGGTGGTACACAGACTGATGCTGCTTTGGAGTTTGTGCGCCTGAATTCTTTCCTCTCGAAGAATGGAGGACGGCTTGATGCCAATAAGACGGTGGTTTTATTAACTGATGGTCAGTCATCTTTCCCCAATAAAACGTTGACTCAAGCGGAATTGCTGAAGTCAGTCCCGAACACCGAAATATTTACCATTGGAATCGGCAGCGCAGTGTCAGGGAGTAACGGAGAAATTCGAGGTATATCGAGTGATCCCGATTCTTACTATGTACAACATGTGGACGCATTCATCTACCTGTGTAACGTAGTGCCGGCTTTGGTTCCCAAACTCGGTAAGTATGGACAGAATCCTGTATATATGTCCTCTTGACTAACAGTAAACCCCATCCAAAAACAGACCAAACAGTTTGCCTGATACCATGAATGAAATGTCAATGGTATTGTTACACAAGCAAAACCCTACAAGAACAAACATTAATTTACCACTTTCTCCTCGTTCTTTCTCCCATCCTTGACTTTGATCTGGAACTTTACTTACAATAAACCTCAAAACAATCATGCACATGGTTCATAGGAGGACACATATTGTTTTCACAAAAACAAATTCGACATTTTCATATCCACAGATCCTTTGAGTAAAGCCACGGCAATACTGAACTGCCCGACGCCTACGACCACCACTCGGAGTCCTAGCTCCGGTCACCTAGGTTGGCGATCGTCGACTGCAACACCTGCAAGCCAATACCAACAAATAAGAACAACACGCGCAACACCACACCATACGGAAGGGGAAGGTATATTTAAGCATTGAACTGTTTTTGTATGGTATTGATGATCTATTTGAATGACACAGCTTTGCAAGCAAACAACATAATGCGCGCTAGCGCATTATGATTAGTTTCTGACTGAGGAATGGTGGATGCGAGACGCGTGAAAGATAGCGTTTGAAGTGAGTGATCTTGCGACGGAGCACAGGTTCGTTACAAATGTCTGAAATATTTATGGTTGCTGTGACTCATATCAGTAGGTCTGTAACATATGTGTCAGTAGGTCTTTATAATATGTGTATTTCAGACATTTGTAACGAACCCCTGTTGATCAGTGCAGTGTAACAGACGATATTTCTGATAAATTGCATGAGCGTTAAAATTGTTACCATTGCCGGCATTGGTGATTTCAACCGATGTGCATTTTGTACGATATTGCAGACATTGGTCTTGTTTTCGTTGTACAATGTAATAAAAGTGTTTTATTTTTTATTTTGCACATAAATTTACAATGCCCAGCGATATATTGGATATTGTAGTTCCGGTCAGTGTTGTATTAATACGCTAAGAATTGTGTCTCGTGATGCATGGTAATTAAAGTCCCATCAACTATACAGCTTTCAAAGAGACTATATAGTGGCAATGCCATGCAAATGTAAATATTATGTATATAAGACCGAACAACGACTTGTTGTTCTGAACATTAGCTAAAATGTTTTGCCATTTAAGAAATCCTCTCCTTCCATTTAAGAAATCCTCTCCTTCCATTTAAGAAATCCTCTCCTTCCATTTAAGAAATCCTCTCCTTCCATTTAAGAAATCCTCTCCTTCCATTTAAGAAATCCTCTCCTTCCATTTAAGAAATCCTCTCCTTCCATTTAAGAAATCCTCTCCTTCCATTTAAGAAATCCTCTCCTTCCATTTAAGAAATCCTCTCCTTCCATTTAAGAAATCCTCTCCTTCCATTTAAGAAATCCTCTCCTTCCATTTAAGAAATCCTCTCCTTCCATTTAAGAAATCCTCTCCTTCCATTTAAGAAATCCTCTCCTTCCATTTAAGAAATCCTCTCCTTCCATTTAAGAAATCCTCTCCTTCCATTTAAGAAATCCTCTCCTTCCATTTAAGAAATCCTCTCCTTCCATTTAAGAAATCCTCTCCTTCCATTTAAGAAATCCTCTCCTTCCATTTAAGAAATCCTCTCCTTCCATTTAAGAAATCCTCTCCTTCCATTTAAGAAATCCTCTCCTTCCATTTAAGAAATCCTCTCCTTCCATTTAAGAAATCCTCTCCTTCCATTTAAGAAATCCTCTCCTTCCATTTAAGAAATCCTCTCCTTCCATTTAAGAAATCCTCTCCTTCCATTTAAGAAATCCTCTCCTTCCATTTAAGAAATCCTCTCCTTCCATTTAAGAAATACTCTCCTTCCATTTAAGAAATACTCTCCTTCCATTTGTTTGTTTCTTACTAATCACGTCACTTACAAATGGCAAATTGTAAAATGTGACCAATGGTACAATTACACTAAAATATTCTGTGTTGTAACTTTGGTATTATCTTGTTACTACAGTTATGAATCATCAAATTTTGAACCTATTTACTCTGTTGACCTGTATTTTACACACTTTCAAATTCCGCTAGAGAGTAAGGTCAATATAATAACATCAATCAATAAGTTGGAATATATTTCTAGAATAAGAAATATAAGATATATAAATCACATGAGTAAGAAAAATCACACTTTAAAAAAAAAAAAAAATTTTTTTACATCACAATAGTTTTGGAACAAGCATTCAATGATTTCGAATAAATATTACTAAATTGCAAATATTAATTTAATTTCGAGTAAAAGAAAAAAATCATTTTTTACAATATAAATATTACGCTTTAGAATGAGAATCTTACCTGCCCTCCAGGAAGTGTATTTATACGATTTTTATTTTGTGTTATGTACTTGGTTTCTAGATATCGTCTTCCTTATTGACACATCTGGAAGTATTGCCAATAGTGATGTGTTGCAGGCTGTTGATTTTATCTACAACGTCACGAAATGGCTGACGATAGGGCCAGACGACATCCTGGTATCTGTCGTAACGTTTGATAGCACTTACGATGAGAAAATCAAATTGAAAGATTACAACTCAAGGGCCGAACTCCTCCGAAACCTGAAACGATTAGTCTACAGCAAACCAGATGGTGGTACACAGACTGATGCTGCTTTGGAGTTTGTGCGCCTGAATTCTTTCCTCTCGAAGAATGGAGGACGGCTTGATGCCAATAAGACGGTGGTTTTATTAACTGATGGTCAGTCATCTTTCCCCAATAAAACGTTGACTCAAGCGGAATTGCTGAAGTCAGTCCCGAACACCGAAATATTTACCATTGGAATCGGCAGCGCAGTGTCAGGGAGTAACGGAGAAATTCGAGGTATATCGAGTGATCCCGATTCTTACTATGTACAACATGTGGACGCATTCATCTACCTGTGTAACGTAGTGCCGGCTTTGGTTCCCAAACTCGGTAAGTATGGACAGAATCCTGTATATATGTCCTCTTGACTAACAGTAAACCCCATCCAAAAACAGACCAAACAGTTTGCCTGATACCATGAATGAAATGTCAATGGTATTGTTACACAAGCAAAACCCTACAAGAACAAACATTAATTTACCACTTTCTCCTCGTTCTTTCTCCCATCCTTGACTTTGATCTGGAACTTTACTTACAATAAACCTCAAAACAATCATGCACATGGTTCATAGGAGGACACATATTGTTTTCACAAAAACAAATTCGACATTTTCATATCCACAGATCCTTTGAGTAAAGCCACGGCAATACTGAACTGCCCGACGCCTACGACCACCACTCGGAGTCCTAGCTCCGGTCACCTAGGTTGGCGATCGTCGACTGCAACACCTGCAAGCCAATACCAACAAATAAGAACAACACGCGCAACACCACACCATACGGAAGGGGAAGGTATATTTAAGCATTGAACTGTTTTTGTATGGTATTGATGATCTATTTGAATGACACAGCTTTGCAAGCAAACAACATAATGCGCGCTAGCGCATTATGATTAGTTTCTGACTGAGGAATGGTGGATGCGAGACGCGTGAAAGATAGCGTTTGAAGTGAGTGATCTTGCGACGGAGCACAGGTTCGTTACAAATGTCTGAAATGTTTATGGTTGCTGTGACTCATATCAGTAGGTCTGTAACATATGTGTCAGTAGGTCTTTATAATATGTGTATTTCAGACATTTGTAACGAACCCCTGTTGATCAGTGCAGTGTAACAGACGATATTTCTGATAAATTGCATGAGCGTTAAAATTGTTACCATTGCCGGCATTGGTGATTTCAACCGATGTGCATTTTGTACGATATTGCAGACATTGGTCTTGTTTTCGTTGTACAATGTAATAAAAGTGTTTTATTTTTTATTTTGCACATAAATTTACAATGCCCAGCGATATATTGGATATTGTAGTTCCTGTCAGTGTTGTATTAATACGCTAAGAATTGTGTCTCGTGATGCATGGTAATTAAAGTCCCATCAACTACACAGCTTTCAAAGAGGCTATATAGTGGCAATGCCATGCAAATGTAAATATTATGTATATAAGACCGAACAACGACTTGTTGTTCTGAACATTAGCTAAAATGTTTTGCCATTTAAGAAATACTCTCCTTTCATTTAAGAAATCCTCTCCTTCCATTTAAAAATTCCTCTCTTCCATTTGATTGTTTCTTACTAATCACGTCATTTACAAATGGCAAATTGCAAAATATGACCAATGGTACAATTTCACTAAAATATTCTTTGTTGTCACTTTGATATTCTCTTGTTGTATTAAATAGACATTCCCTAAGGAGTGGCGATTGGTTATTATAGTAATCTTACTACAGTTATGAATCATCAAATTTTGAACCTATTTTCTCTGTTGACCTGTATTTTACACAATTTCAAATTCCGCTAGAGAGTAAGGTCAGTATAATAACATCAATCAATAAGTTGGAATATATTTCTAACAAAACAGCCACATTCTATCTGAAAAGAAAATGACATACGTGCAATGTATCTTGCGGATGATTTCAATCTTCAACCATAAAGAAATCTCCGGGTGTCATGCCGTAACAATGGAACTTCAACTGAAACATTACAGTGCAAGTTATTGTAATGTAATCTATCAACACTTGATCTATAGTACTTCCAGAAGGTTAATCAGAACCGTCTTCGTCAGCTCAATTGATGATTATTACACGGATTAGGGGAGGTGAAACACACACAGGGTATGGTAGAAAACCAGGTTAAAGACTCAACATGCTGACAGATGGAGGCATTGGACTCACGGCGTATGTGATCACGTGCCTTCCAAAATTGGTATACGTTTGAGCGGCACCATGCTGTTTCTTTCGGACCAAACAAAAGTAATATTAAGGCATTAAGATATATC